GAGGTGGTGGTGAAGGCTTCTGGGAGTTGAAGTCCAAGAACATCTGGAGGGCCACAGTTTGACACCACTCTAGCTGCTCAGAAGTGCAGTATTTCACAAAGAATATTAGCTTCAAATTCCACAATTTAGTTCACCCCTTTCCCCTCATTGGTAGTTAGTCTCAATAACTAACTCTGAGACATTATTGGGAGAGAGAAAAAAATAAAAGGTTTCACTTATTTACAATGAACAAATAACAGCAAGCTCACATTAAAATACAGTATAACAATCTTTAAAGTACCACAAAGTTTTTGTCTTTTTATTTTTATTATTTTTTCTCTCCCTTTTAGTTCACCCCTTTCCCCTCATTGGTAGTTAGTCTCAATAACTAACTCTGAGACATTATTGGGAGAGAGAAAAAAATAAAAGGTTTCACTTATTTACAATGAACAAATAACAGCAAGCTCACATTAAAATACAGTATAACAATCTTTAAAGTACCACAAAGTTTTTGTCTTTTTATTTTTATTATTTTTTCTCTCCCTGATTTTGCCTTTACAATGAACAAATAACAGCAAGCTCACGTTAAAATACAGTATAACAATCTTTAAAGTGCCACAAAGTTTTTGTCTTGTTATTTTTATTATTTTTTTCCTCCCCGATTTTGCCTAATATGTTAGCTTGTTCCAGCAAAAACAAAACAAAAATGTGGAAGGTCTGTAGCACCTTTAACATTTTATTTGGCATAAGCTTTCATGGGCTGCAGCAGCTCACAAAAAACTATGCCAAATGAAACTGGATCCCACAGTTTCAGGATCCCACCATTGAAGTTTTAGGAAGAGGTAGCCACATTAGTCTGTGCATACATATCAAGTAAAATCCAAAGAAACGAAATGAAAAAGACAAAAGAACAACACTTAAAGACTTGTATTATGAAGTGTTTTTTAAACCATGAAAGCTTGTGAACTGAATTATTTTTTTTTGGTCTATAAGGAGATTGCCTAGTTTTGTATTTGTATTATACTGTATTTTAATACAGTATGAGTTTCATAGACTCGTCCACTTTGTCAGACATATATTGGGGGGGGGAAGTGGCCTTGCCCACGAAAGCTTAGATTAAAATATAATAGCTAATCTTGAAGCTGCCACATGTTCATGTCTTTTTTTTAATTTTGTTTTGTTTCTCTGGATTTAGCCTGATAGGGATCGCACGGGGACTCCACTGTTAACTGACGAATCCTTCTTGCGGCCTAGGCAAAAAGGGAGGGCGCAGGCTCCTCGTTTCTATGGCTACGGTCCTTGGCCCCCGCCCTGGCTCGCTCTCCCGCCTCGCCAGCCCCCCTTGCGGCGCATGCGCCCTGTAGGCATTGTTACATAACAAAGCCCGTGCTCCTCCCCCTCCCCTCGCCGGGCGAAGTTGTTTTTCTGGAAGCTTCGACGCTCCTTCAGTTGGTGTCGGGACGCCATCGCGAGCGGGTTGACCTGGCGGCGGCTGTTGGCGGGCTGTTTTCCGAACGCTTTTTATCGGTCTCGGGGACGTTTTTTTGGCTGCATCTCCTTGGAAGGAGCTCCGTCGAGCTGTTATTTTTTAAAAATTATTATTTTAGCTTTTTATATCATCCCACGGAGACTCTCGAGCATCCCTCCGGCCCTCTTTTCCTCCCCGTTTCTGACTTTCCGTCATGGCGGTGACCAACGAAACCGGCCTGTCTCCTCAGGCGCCTCCACAGAGCCAGAATCCGTCCGCCTGGTACCAGTGAGTCTGAGGCCGTTTTTAATTTTGTCGTGGGAGGAAACGGGAGAACGAGCTGAGGAGAAGGCCGGGAGGACCGTT